CCAGCCCTCCGCCCTTCTTGTACTTTTCATTTTGCTTTATTATTATTATTTTTTGTCTTTTTGAGACAGGGTCTCACTATGCAGTTCAGGCTGGCTTTGAGCTCACTTGGTAGCCCAGGCTGGTCTTGAACTCACAACGATTCTCCTGCCTCAGCCTCCTGAGTGCTGGGATTACAGGCGTGCACCACCACGCCCGGCTTGTACTTCTCATTTTGACACAAGGTTTTACAAAGTCATTAAATTGCCCCGGTTGGGTTTGAATTTGTGATCCTCTCGCCTCAGCCTCCCGGAGCATTGGGATTGTTACTTCTGGCTTTGAAGGCTGGGTGGGAGAGCAGCCGGGGGGACTGGGAGGAGGATGAGGTACAGGGACAGTGGGCCTGGGTAGAGGGTGGGTGACATCCACACCTGACTTCTCACTCGCAGCTTAAGCAGCCAGGGTGGGAGTCTCCAAGGATCACGCTTCGGTGTGCTCTTCCCACTGCCGCAGCTTGCCCTGCAGTGCTGTGGGCCCAGCCTGGACAGAGTGGGGCCCGGGCCCAAGGCCCAGGGCTCAGGTCACCAGGGCGTGCAGGGCCACAGGCTCCGGCAGCACTGAGCGCCATCAGGACTACTGCCTTGCTACACCCAGGTCCATGCGGACACTGGACAGAAAGCGCCAGAGAGCCCCATGGGTGCCAACAGAGAGGAGCGGCTTCGCTGGGGACCCCCAGAGGAGGCTAGTGGGCACCAGCTCAGCAAGCAGCCAGCTGGGGGACGAGAGGGTGTCCCTGACGCAAGACAGTGTGCTGCTCCCCGCCTGTGCTCTGGGGTGGGAGGCACAGGCCGGAGAGGAGGCCGGTCCCTGCAGGGACAGCCCTGAGTGGCCCCAGGCAGAGCCCTGAGGATGCCGGGGAGGTGACCACCGAGTCGTCCTGCAGCCCAGTCAGACGTGGAAGCAGAGACAGAGGTCGTGAGGGCTTGGAGCCACCAGGGGAGGCCCGAGGTGGCATGTGCAGGTCGGCGAGGCCCGTGAGGCTGGGGTGCATATCGTCGGAGCCCCCGAGGTGAAGGCTGGTGGGAAGTCAGTGGCTCTGAAGGCAAGTCTCGGGGTACACGGGCAGTGGAGGCAGTGAGGGTTTAGAGCAGGATGGGGTGATGTGGGCAGCTGCAGGCCGAGGTGGGCTGGCTGCAGGTTGGGCAAGGACTGCAGGCCCCTCTGAGTCCCTCCCCACTTCGGGCCTTCTGCAGGGGCGGAGCGCCCTGAACCCCGGCCCCACCTGCCCCCAGCTGGAGCTGGATGGACTGAGGCGAGACCCTGCCCCTCCTGTCTCGGCCTCCCTACCTATGAGGCAGGACACAGACACCCCAATGCTGTCTTGGGGACCTGGTGTGTGTCAGGCATTGGGCAGGGCACACAGGTGGTGCTTACTAAGCGTGACTTCCCTGTCACAAGCCAGACCTATCACTGGACAGGGTCCAAGGAGGCTCAAAGTAGGGGTGAGCCCAAGCCCATTCTGTACCCGTGATAAACTGCAGTCCACTGACTTCTATCGCAGGCAGAGAAATTGCAGGTGCATCCATGACAGACACAAGGGGTTCATTAGGCAGAATTGTTCTGTTTTGTTTTTTGAGACAGTGTCTCCCTATGTAGGTCAGGCTGCTCTTGAACTCACTCTGAAGCCCAGGCTGGCCTTGAACTCACAGCGATCCTCCTGCCTCAGCTTCCCAAATGCTGGGATTACAGGTGTGCACCACCACGCACTCTGAATGTGCACTTTTAAATTCTGTGAGCCCTCAGGAGAGAGGCACACGGTTCCTGGCATGAGGATGTTTATTTGGAGAGGGCTGGCAGAGGCCTCACATCACCCAGAAGGACAGTGGCCCGTTTCACAGCTAGGAGCTGTTTTTCTTTTTTAAGATGGGAAACTTGGCCGAGGATACAGCTCAGTGGCACAAGCACCTGCCTGGCATGCGCAAGGTCCTGAGTTCGATTCCCGGTACCAAATCAAAACAAAACAAAACTTTAAGATGGAAAACTTAAGTGTTCTTTGAATGGTCTGTTTCCTTATCTTAAAACCAGATTCCTGCTCTTTACCTTCTCAGCTACACCAGTTTATGGCCTCACAGTGTCCTTGAGGGATCGGGGTGAGGGGTCTGAAAGGAAAGAACGTCAGTCAACCCAGCGAACCCGAAAGGGTGGCCTTGCAGACTCACTGCAACCCCTCCCACTGCGAAAACCTTGCCACCCCTGCAAACCCGGAAGTTGCAGCCCTCTTAAAAGGCTGCTTTAGTCACGGCTTTCCTTGTCTCCTCCTCCCTCATCTTTATTCCCTACGTCCAGCCTCAGGCCCACGTCCTCCTTGCCCTCAACAGCGGGTGACCGGGAGCCAGAGCCCCACAGGGGCACCATGGGAGCGCAGGGACAGAGGCCGGGAGGCCATCGGGGCAGCCCCCTCTGCGTGTGGGTCAGGCCTGAGCAAGGCGGCGTCCATGAACCCTGGCGCCAGGGCAGGACGATGACCTGTGACCGGGGCGGGGCAGATAAAGCCCCATCAATCGCTGGGTCCAGCTCCCCTGCTGGGCCTCCTCCCAGCTGCCCAGGGGCCTCCAGAGCCTGAGGAAGGCAGACCAGCCAGCCCCAAGGGCAGTGTGTGAGGAGAGTAGGTGAGGGTCAGCCCCCCATCCACCCCAGGGAACTGAGGCTTGGGGAGGGACATCTCCTACCCATGTCCCAGGGTCTGGTGCCAGCTCCAGCCTGGGCTGTGTGCTGGGGCCTGGGTGGCAGGGAGCTGGGGAGGGGCTGGGGCGCTGTCACTGCTGTGTGTGTGACTGCAACAGGTCTGGCCTTTCTTTTGGCCTCAGTTTCTCCAACAGTAAAGTGAGACCTCGCTGGCGAATGCCCTCCCCCACCCTGACGGGTTTGCACAGTGTGATGTGCAGATAGGTCTCAGGGGCTGGGATGGCCCCTCCTCCTTCCTGTCCTACCCTAGCAAAAGCCAGAAGAGCAAACAGCCAGGCTCCGGTGGCCCCCACTCCCTCGGTTCCCTGGTCCCACTCTGTGCCATGGAGGCCCAGGGAGCAGGGGGTCAAGGGGGACAACACAGGAAGTCCCCCAGCCCCAGTTAAATATAGACTGAGGCTCCTCCCACGACCTTCCCTGGGCTCCTGTGGGCTGTGGGAGGAGCAGGGTGGCCTCAGCCTCTGGCTCTGTGACACCGGGCAGGCGTGGGCTCCACAGAGTCCCTGCCCTCCTGCAGAAGCAGTCCGCCTTTTGGGGAAGGGGTGAGTGGGGTTCTGAAGGGCAGGGCAGGGGCTTGTGGAGGGGGCTGGGGCGTCTGAGCCTGAGAAGGCCCGGATGTGGTCATTGAGCCCTGCCCTCCTGTGGCTGAGGGTAGAGCTGGGCCCCAGGACCCACAGTGCAGCTCCCCGCTCCAGCTCTGCAGGAGGTCGGGCCTGGGCAGACCGGGTGAGGTAGGCACCTGGGGAGACCCTCTCTGGGGGTGCTGTCAGTGCAGGCTCCTCGATGGAAGAAGTACCTGAATCCCAGCGCCCACCTGCAGCCTGGCACAGGTGCTCTGGCCAGGGCAGGGGTCTCCTCTGATGCGTCCTTTCTGGTAGCTCAGGATGATGCTGCTGCTAGGAATCCTTCCCTGACCAGCCCTTGGGTCTGGTCGAGCCCCTGGGACTCTTGTCCCCTCGGTGGCACCAGGGTGCCCTCCAGGCCTTCTCAGCCTCCCTCTCATCCCCAGATCTCCTGCTGCTGAGATGCTGTCACCACAGAAGGTGACCCCTGGACCAGAGCCCCAAAGCCCCCGGGAGTCTGGGGGGCCGGCGGCACCAGCCTGGGGCACTCAGCGGTCGATCAGTGTGGTGGAGAACAAAGACCACCACGTGGGCACCATTCGGGGCATCCTTCATCGGGCCCGGTCCTGGGCGAGCCCGCAGGGCCCCACCCGAGCGACTAAGGAAGACCCAGGCCGGCGCCACCGAGCCTCCCGGAGATCCCTGCTCCTGTCCTTGCGGCGAATGGTGGACCAAAGCCCAGCAGCGGGCCAGTCCCAGGTCACGGCTGTGCAAGAAGAGCCTTCTGTGGTCAGCAGTGGTGATGCCAAGCAGCAGGCAGCACTGCAGGTGGGGCCAGAGGAACTGCAGCCGGAGGCAGGTAAGGGCTTCACGGGCCATGCTAAGCATGGGGGGAAGCTGAGACAGAGGGGGCACCAGCTGAGCCCAGCCTTCCCAGCTCTCCCACACCCTTTTTCCTGCACAATCGAACTTCAAGTTCTCACAGCATCTTAGCAAGGGGACCCCCCAGAGAAAAGCGGGGCTCAGAGTGGTGAAGTGACTTGAGTCTGGGACTGGGATTTGAACCTCCGTCTCCACCACTGTAGAAGTCAAGGACCTTGGGTGTGGAAGTGTCAGGGAGGCGGCAGCGCAGGCGAGATGTTCCACCTGCACAGCGGCAGGTGGCAGCCTGGGCACTGCAGGGCACGCCCAGCCTGAGCTCTGACCCTATTAGACCTGAAATCAGCGCTGCCCAGGAGGCCAGGGAGCAGCTCCCTGCAGGCGGGGTGGCAGGAGTAGCGGGCAGAGGGACGAACCAAAGCGCTCTTTGGGTTTTGGTTGGACCCAGGCTGTGACTCTTGGAGGCTAGGGGAATCTGGGCCGGGCCCAGGGTCCTGGGGCGGGTACCTGTCCTCGCCCCTATTTCACTGCCCCCGCAGAAGGCAAATCCGTGGCCGACCTCATCACTGAGTGGCAAGTGATGGCGGCGTTCAAGCAGCTGCGAGGCCTGGAGACGCGGCTGGTGGCCGAGAAGACTTCAAACCCCGTTGAGGACCCCACGGACTACGTGCGGCGCGTCATGGACGTGTCCCTGCACTACGACCGGCTGGCGAACGAGATGGGCGCCATCGTGCGCGAGACCCTGGCCCCCGAGGGCGTGCCCGCGGCGATGCTGACGGAGCTGGCGCGGGTGGTGCGCGCGGAGGAGGAGGCCCACCCGGCACCGCCGGCCGGCGGCGACATCCTGCTCACCCCGCGCCACTGGCGCAGGCAGTGGGAGGACGCGGTGCGGCGGAGCGCGCGGGAGCGCGTGTGTCTGGCGGGCGCGGGCGCCACCCCTGGGGCCACGGAGGGCGAGCCCGGCCTGGCCCAGATCCTGAGCGAGCTAGGTGGCGTGGTTCGCGGCGACCTGCAGAAGGTGCACCGGGAGGTGCGGCCCGCGTACGAGGTCGCCGGCTTGCCCGCGTGGGAGACCTACCTGCGCGCCTTCCACGCAGCGGTGGGCCAGCGCCTGCAGGAGCTCGCGCGCGATGCCCGCGGCTGCGAGCAGCTCTACCTCCTGCTGGATTGGGTCGCCAACGTCTATGGCAGGTGAGGCCCGAGGCGGGCCACGCGCGAGTGGCGGCTCGTACGACCCACCCGGGGCTTGCGGACTCGCTCCGGGAGCACAGCGCAGTCTTGGGCCGCGGCCGGCGCCCGAGAGACCGGGGAGTTCGCCATGCTTCCCTGCCCTTGAGGCGCTGATGTGTTCCCACCCCAGATCTTCCCACGGGGCCACCACGCGCGGGTTCCCAGCGGAGCAGGTGCCTGTGCCAGCATTAAAGGGGCGCCTCTCAGGGCAGGACACCCCGCGGGCTCGCTCACTCCCCCTGTGGAAGGGCACGGCTGCTGGGAGCTGCCCCTTGCGCTCTGCTGTGTCCAGGCCACAGGCCTCCGGGATGACGGTGCGGGCCCACGGGCAGGAGTGGGCCCCCTGAATACCGCTGGACGGTGACTGCGGAGCTATGTGGTGTTGCGGGGCTTGGGCCAGGCTTGGGCGCTCGCCACGCAAGCGGTGGAGGTCACCCGAGGCGGCCTGGCAGGGGCCCATCTGGACAGCTCTTAAGCAGGCTGAGCGGGCACAGCTGGTGGTCAGACGCTTCCGGGAGGTGCTGGCCCAGACCCCCAGGGCCAGGGCTGCGGCGGGCTGCAGACGTGGGGGAGGCGGGGCTGTGACCCGGCCGCCCTGCCCCTCAGCACCCTGCCCGCTTCCAGCCCCGACTTCCTGGACGCCCGGGACCTGGCACTGCCTGAGGAGCCGCTGCCCCCGCTCCTAGCGCCCGACGTGTGGGCGCAGCTGGAGAGCGACTACACCCGCTTCCTGGAGGTGGGGCCGGCTCCTGCAGGCAGGCGGGAGCCGGGGGTCTGGGCGGCGGCGCGGCCTGGCCTGTGAGCGGGCAGGGTGCTCATCCCCGAGGCACAGGAACCCCCTCCTGGGAGGCCTCACCGGGTCCAATCCCCCCTCCCCAGAGCAAGATCGCAGGCTACTTCGACCGCATCTTGCAGCTGGAGCAGAGCGGCTGGGCGGCGTCAGGGGGCCCCGAGGAGCTGCAGGGCCGCTACCGCGCGCCGCTGTCCACGGACATCCACATGGTGCGCGGCGGGGGCCCCCGGAGTGTGATCATACCCGGTTCTAGCGGTCCCCCCGGGAGCTGGTGGAGCCGGGCGTAGGGAGGTGACTCTCAGGTTGGGGCCCCTGAAAGCTAGAGCGAGACCTGCGGCAGAGCGAGTGGGCCGGGTCCGCCGCCGGCCGCCAGGTGGCAGAGAGGGCGCCGGGCGGGGACCCGCCGCGCCCAACCGTGCTGTCGCCCCCAGCTGGTGGCGGAGCACGTGAAGGCGTCCAGCGCCATCTCCGCCGAGCTCGAGGCCACCACCCTGAGGATCTGCGCGCGCGAGATCAGACTCTTTGTGCCCAGGTGCGCGTGCGTCCCCGGGGCTGGGGGGCGTGCACCCCGGAGGGCTCCGAACGCTGCACCACAGAGAGAGGGGCCCTCAGCGCGAGCCTGGAGTCTGGGTGGGAACCGACGAGAGCGCTGTTCGAGGTCTCTGCGTGCCCTGCCCAGGTTCGAGAAGGCTTTGCTGGAGTCGGGGGCGGCGAGCGAGCCCCGCTTGGGCGCCTACATCAACGCCTGCGAGGAGCTCAGGTGCGTCTTGCGCCTACGCCGCACTGCCAGCAGGGGGTGCGCGAGCTCCCGAAAACAGCGCGGAGGCGGAGTGCGCGTGCGTCATGGACCGAGGGGCTTGGTTCCGTGCTGATGGAAAAAAGCCTGAACCTGGGTGACAAGGGGCTGGTCCCTTCCCTAGTGTGACCCGCCCTGACACCTCCAGGGGCCGTGCCCTCCCCGTCCTACTGGCACAGCGCCTTCCTCAGCCCAGCAAAGCAGGTCCCCGGCTGTCACAGGGCAAGGGGGCCCTGGCCTCACCCCGGGGTCTGAATCCCCCAGCCCCTGCGCAGCCCTCTGCAGACCAGCCTCAGTGTCCCCCTTTGCATATGTGCCTGCTGCTAACGGGAACACTGGCTCCGGCCGCGCTGGGCTCAGATCCCCATGCTGCCAGGGAGAAGGCACTTGGATCTCTGCCCCTCTCTGCTCTTCTGACACCTGGGGCCGAGCCTCTGCCCCCAGGCCTGAGCCTCTGCGCCCAGGCCCCAGCGCGTGGGACCCCACGCCTGGGAGGACCCGGTCCCTGCCGGCTCTCTGCCGCCCCTGCCAGGTGCCAGGATCTGGGCGGTGCTTCACCGGGTGCATTTCTCCCCCAGGCCCTGTGCCCTGCTCCTGTGGGAGAGTGAGGCCGGGCGCAAATGACCCCCAGCCATGCACCCAGCAAGTGCAACCAGGCCCGTGTCTGTGCCAGACTCCCCAGCACGACCAGGCGCGCGCCTGCAGCACCTCGCTCCTCTGTGCCAGGGGCTGAGGGGGCAGCAATAGGACCTCAGCATGCCATGCCATGTCCAAGTCTGTCCTCAGCTTCCTCAACAGTGAAATGGGGACGCTGTCGCCTTAGAGGGCAGGGATGGAGCTATGGTCACATTATAGTCTAAATGAGTGGAGCTGGTACAACCCCAGCCTGCAGGCCTTTGTGCTGCGCCTTGCTCCCCAGCTTGCTCCCTTGTGCCCACCTAATCACTTGTCCGGGCCCTTCACCAGGACCAGTCTGCTGGCCAGGTTCCCAGGAATGCTGGAGGAGCTGGAGAAGCCCCTCCTGGCCGCTGTCCACAGCTTCCAGAAGCACTTGCTCCAGGGCCTGCAGCGTGACGTGCAGGTGAGAGGAGCAGGGCTTGCTCTCCCACTCTCTGTGCCCGGCAGGCGCCTTCTGCTGGCTGAAGCCCAGGGCCCAGGGCCCATTCAGGGGCGTGTGTGTCGGGATGGGGTGGGGACTCAGGTGTCCGGGCTAAGAGGGGGCGTTTAGGAAGTGCCTGCCTTCCCACTGCAATTCCCCCGCCAGGACCCAACCGGGGGTGGTGGCGCAGGGTCCCTTACAACGGCGCTCCAGGTGTCCCGAGGGCACATAGTGTTGCCTGGCTGGGAGGGGATGGTGGCGCAGGGTCCCCAGTGGAGGCAGAAGGGTGCTCAGCGCTCACTCCCACACCCCCGCCCGCAGCCACTCTTCAGGTCCGTGTTTATCAAGAACTGGCTGACACAGGACACACTGGGTCCCCTCATGGACAAGGTGAAGGCCTTTGCATACCACCTCACACTTGTGGCCCCGCCAGTGGCACAGGTATGGCCGGGAAGGGTTCTGAGCCAGCATGTGCCCAGGGCTTAGTCTCTGACCCAGCCATGACCGTGACTGCACCCGTCCAGGAGACGCTGCAGGAGGTGCACAGGTTTGTGGTCCGGGAGTACCTGGCGCAGGTGCTGAGGCCGAGCGTGCGCTTCCGGGGCGAGGAGCGCGTGCGAGGCGCCCAGAGGATGAGTGAGGACGCGCAGGCCATCAGCGAAGCCTTCCGGGACTTGGTAGGAGCCACGTCTGGTGCCGGGGGACTCGCTTCCGCCCTTGGTTAGCGCCCCCATTCTCAGTTCTGCTCACCCGGAGAGAAGTGGGGGGCAGTGAGTGCGCCCTAGTTCTGCCCCCGTCTCCACCACGCAGGGCCCAGTGGGGATGGGCTGGGCGGTGGGCGCACTTGCAGACATTGGCGTAGTTTGGGGGCTCAGAGGAAGGACAGAGGGACGCAGCCTCATCTGGTGGCCAGGCCTGGGGCGGCCCCTGCCCACCCAGCTCTGATCTGGGCCGCTGCCTCCACTTGGGGTGCGGTTCCAGGCACATTTCTGGCTCAGGCCTGGGCTGCACATCACGAGGACAGAGGACACCAGTGCTGGCCCCGGGGCGGGGAGACGCCCATGGTGCTGGATCTGCACAATCCCAGCCTCCCTGTGTCCTCAGGGCTCTGAATCCACGTGGCTGAACCAGGCCATCCCCTGCGTGGCTGAGATCCTGGGAGAGACATACAAGGACGACATCAGGCGGCACCTGGAGACGCTTATCCGGAGCTACCCTGACATCAGGTCTGAGCCCACCTGTGCCCCCACGAGGGCCTGAGATGCACCCCAGGCGCAGTGGGCAGGCAAGGAGGGAAGGGTGTGTTCAGTGGGGTCAGACGGGGCTCGAACCCTGCATGGACCTGTGTGTGTGGCATCAAGACCTAGCTATGTGTGTAAGGCACCCTTGGGCCACAGGCCAGAAGAGGCGCCCCTCGCACATATTCCGGACCATTTTTCATTAGTCCCCCTGGGGTGAGGGGCACACGCTCCCTGGAATTAGGGAGCAGGTGTTACCCCAACCCTGACAGCAAGTCCTACCAAGGGTGGGAGGCAGGAAGCTTTGATCCTGGGGTGGGAGGGGCGCTGTGAGTCATGGAAGCCCATGGAAATCCCGGTTCAACCCTCCCTGGGGCTTGGACATTCTGGAATGGGGAGGCCGCAGAAAGCCCCTGGCCCAGCCCCTTCCCCGGGCCGGCTACCACCAGGGAGAGTTCCCTGCCCTGGTCCCAGGCGGGCGGTCTCCAGAGTGTGGATCAGAGGCATACCATAGGTTCCCCAGCCTGACGCGACCCTGACCCCTGGGACTCCGTGGGTACCTGTGTGCCTGTCCCCTCCCCTGTGTGGTCTGTGCCTTCGAGGCCCAGCCACCCACTGCTACAGCCCATGGCCCACACTGCCACTGCCTCCCCAGGAGCACCCTCCTGACCCCCACCGCCCTGGCCTCCCTGACCGAGCTCCAGGAATGCTGCGTGACTCATACTTCCTCTAAGCCCGGGGTTCCCGGCATCCAGAGGGAGGCTGGGGGTCAGGGGTGTGCCCTGCAGTGCGCCCATCTTCCCTCCACAGGCGCAAGCACGTGCTGGCCATCCTGGCGCTGCGCAGACTGGGCCACCGTCGGAACCGGCACCTGCTGCAGCACTCGCAGGGCCTGCTGGGGGGTGGGAATGGGGCTGCAGGCGCAGAAGCCACCCACAAGCGCGTGCTTTTTGAGGAGATACTGGTGCCTGTCTCCATGGATGTGCTGAGCACCTGCATCTACTGCTCCCCAAACAGAGAGGGCCTCCCAGCACCCTCCGTGAGGCCTGCACCCTGAGCGAGGAGCCCCAAAGTCAGTGGGAGCCCTGCCCCCAACTCTGCAGCCCAGAGTTGTCATGGAATATTTATCCTTAACCGTGTTTGGCTGCTCAGCTTGGAGGGGGAGGATGAAGGCATCTGAGGCATTTGTGGGGGCGCTTGGGGTGGTTTCCCCATCCATCCTGCCTGCCAGGGAGGGCCTGCTGCTTCGCAGCCCCCGCCACCCCCAGCTGAGAGCTCAGGACAGAGTATTTATTCTAAAAATAAATGTCAGTTAAACCGGTGCCTCCCTACCCAGGGCCAGGCCAAGCTGGCTGCTGGTGGAAGGCCTGGGTGCACCTGCCAAAGGCCTCTGCGCCCACCGCGCCGGTGGGAGACGGGCAGCACGAGCCGGAAGGCCCTCAGCAGAACCGTCCTCCGTGGCGGGACCCTGGGCCCACATGCTGTGCCTCACCGCAGCAGCCCAGGCCTGGGGGCCAGGAGAGTGAAGGCTTGTTCTGCCTCTTGAGGTATTGGGGTTGCACAGGGGAGGGACTTCCCAGCAGTGGCAGTTGTTGGGGTCCTGCAGGGGGCTGCCCAGGCCGTGTTGGGGTGACCCGTAGCTGGTGAAGTCTGTTCAGATGTGCACCTGCAAACCCCCTTCTGGCCCGGCTGAGGGCAAGGCTGCAGGGAGCCCGTTTGCGTTGGTGGTAGAGTGGGGAGCCTGCAGGGGAAGCCCAGGCTGGCACCCAGGAGCCCCCTGCCTGGCCCTGGGAGGAGGGCCAGGTACCTGCAGGTGACCAGGGCCCCGAGCGCTGGATGGACTTTCACCTCCAGAGCACAGGCTCAGGGTCCTGAAGGCTGCCCTGCAAGGTGAGTGGGGGCGTCCCTCTCAGCTCCCCCAGCTCTGCCCCTCTCATCCCTGTGGGGCGGGGGCAGCATCCAGGCAGATCTGCTGCCCCTCTCCGAGCCTGGCCTGGAACGCAGGGCCAGGTCTGAGTCTGCTGGGCCCGTGGCAGACAAGCCATGTGCCTGGGATACTCTGTCCTCTCTGGTCGCAGGTGCCAGGGCAGTGCCTTCCTGCCAGTGGTTGTGCCAGGGCTGGAGGCCAGGGGCAGGGCAGGGGAATATCCAGCTCTCCCTGGCAGGGGCGGTGAGGTGGGCAGGAAGAGGAAGTGGAGAGCTTGGGGTTCCCGGGCTCCTGGGGGTAGGGTAGGGAGTGTGACTGCCGGCGCTGACAGGCAGTCCTTGGCCCAGGGAGAAACAGGCTGCCATAACTGGAGTTTGGGGGTAGGACGGGCACGTCTGAGCGTGGAGGAGGGGTCTGCAGGAGGGGCAGGGGACTCACTGGCCACGCTGTCCTTGCCCAGCCCCACTGTACCCCTGGGGGCCACTGGTGTCGGGTGGGAATGGCCAGCAGGGGCTGGCGGGGGTAAGGGAAGACTCATCTGCCTGGCCCCAGCCAGTTCTCCCCAGGGAGACTGAGTCCCAGCCCCACGGTAAAGAAGCAGGAGGTTTTGGGGCTGGGCTCCCAGGGCAGACTGGGTGGCGGCAGGAAGGCTGTCTTAGTGATGTAGGAAAGCTCCGTTACCTCAACGTGCCTCCGTTTTTCCAAATGTGAAATGGGTGCTTTCAGCACCTCCCAGGTTTGGAGGGAAAGGCAAGAGCCAGGTGTAAACCAGGCCCCTGGCCACCCTACCACGCAGTGTTCCAGGCACCTCCAGAGCGCTGGCCTGCAAGGAAGTCAAGAACGCCCTGGGTGCAGCCCCGCCTGTGAGCAGGCCCGGGCCAAGCAGATGACTGGTAGGGAGAGATGGAGGCCGGGACCCGCCCGAGGCTCAGGACCGTCTTTCTGAGGGTTTCTAGACCTGGAGACGGGAAGTCGGGTTTCCTGACAGGAACTGTGTGCACACGCAACACTTGCGCGTCCTGCAAGGAGCACCGGCATGTGCCCTTGCCTTGCCTAGCGCTGGCAGTGGCCGTGACCAGCACTGGCCTCCTCAGGCCGCATACGGGAAGCAGGAGGCAGCAGCAGCTTCTGAGAGCACCACGGAAGACTGACGGCAGGGGGCTGTCCTGTCCGCATGTGGGGGCTGCTGGCCAGCCGGGTCCCCGAGGCTCTGCACAGACCTTAAGTGCCTTCACGGTCGTTGTCCAGGCCGAGCACAGAGGTGGGAGGTCTGGCTGCCGGACTTGTCGGCCAGTTGTCTGGCTGATAAGTGCGTGCATGTGTGTGTGTGTGTGTATGCGTGCACGCGCATATGTGTGTTCACAGCATTTGCCAGCCCGGCTTGGAGGGCTTGCCAGGGGACCGCGTGCCCAGCACAGAGCAGGACAGTCCCCAGCATCCTCTTGGCCCCTCCAGTTCAGAACCCAGCCTCTTCCCCGCCCCTGCGGGTTCTCTGCTCCTCCCTCTTCAGCTCCCAGCCTGGCTCCCCACGGCCTCTGGTATCCTGGGTCCTTTCTGGACTGGGGTTTGCTTCTGGCCCTGAGCCGGGGCCCCACTCTGTGAGCACCATGGCCCGGAGGGCACTGGAGGAGGTGCGCTTGGCTTGTGGGGTGAGGCGCTGTGCGCATACCTGCCAGCCCGGGACAGTGTGGGTGGCAGGAAGAGGGGACCGGACCGTCCACCCAGCTCGGGCTCCCAGGCCCTCCTGTCCCCCCTGTCCCCAGGCTCAGGCCTAGGCCCTGCTGGCATGTGCTATGCCACACTGGGACAGCCTGTGGGAGGTGGAGGCTCCAGGCCTGCACTAGGCCCACCTGTCCTCCCCTAGATGACGACCTGCGCCGGCCCTCCTGCGACCAGTGTCCGCGTGCCACGTGGACAGTGCTCGCTGTGGAGGGTCTGCCTTCAGAGGTTCTGGCACGGAGGGTGTGCTTCAAGAGGCAGCCAGCGTGTCCCACAGCCTCTCCCTCTTCCTTCCTTGCCTGATGACCTCAGTGCCTTCCCTTCTGGCCCTGGCCCTCTGCAGGCGGATTCCTGGGGACAGCACCCTCAGTGGCTGGCGGTGGCTCCTGCAGAGCCCCTCACCATGGTCCAGGTGGGGGACAGGACCTGCAGGGTCCCCAAAGCTACCATCCATCCCCAACCTCACTTCTTCCTGTACACACAGAAACCCCTTCGGGACTGCAGCCAGCCACCAGCCACCGTCATCCACCCTCTGGGCAGGGAGGGGCAGAATGGACTCCCCAGGGACAGTGTCTTCCTGGGGGCCCCGGGAGCTGGGCAGGGGGTCTGTCTGCTGGGAGCCGCTCCCAGTGCTGTCTTGGGACAGCCGTGTCGGGAGCCTGGCGCTGCTGTGGGTGTCCCCATCTCAGCCCAGCCTGTGCCCCTGCGATCCTGAAACCCTGGGGGGAACGGAGCTGTGAACACGCCGTGCCCACCTCAGTCCTGTCCTCTCTTGGGCCTTGGGGACCTGGCAGTGCTGCAGGGGCCCCTCCTCCTTCCCGGATGCCCTCCTCAGCGTGCATTTTTAGCTTTGTGTCCCGTTGAATAATAAATTCACACGGATTGTGTAAAGGCACGTTAAAGACACACGGTGAAAAGTCTCCTCCTTACCCCTCCCAAGTGGTGTTTCCCCGCCAAGAGTGAGATTTCTGGTCTTGCTGGAAGTGTCCTTGGGGAGCCATCCTGATCTCTATAAAAATAAACCCATGATGAGCACAAGGCTCCTGTCCGACAGAGTCCGCAAACACTGCAAGCGTGGGGCTGGCGCAGGAGGAAGTCAAGGTAGCACCCGCTGTTTCTGCACCTTCCTGCTCCCCAGGGGTTCAGGGCTGCTGTGAAGGATCAGCCTCAGCTCAAGAGGCCCTGGCTGGAACCCAGCACTGTGTCTTCACAGCTGGTCAGCCCTGGGGAAGTTCCTCCACCTCTCTGGGCTCTGCCTCCCTGTGCAAAATTGGGTGGGAACGGAGAAAAGGCTGCCATCCCTCGGAGTGGCCTGGCCCAGGAAGCAGGCCCTGCACACAGCCCACACTGCCACCCCCACGCCCGCCAGGGGCAGGGACTGCGGGCCCCCCTTCAGGGAGGCCCAGCTGCATCTGGGGCAGCTCCCTCCCTCCCTGTGCTCTTCTAGCCGCTGGACACTCCCAGAAACAGCACCTGCCACGTGACCAGCTGTCATTGGAAGCACCCAGGATGGGCCAAGACAAGCTGCTTCCTGGAAATCACGCCGGCTCAGAGAAGAGCCTGGGTACAGCTGGCGCAACAGGAGGTTTTCTTGACATCTTTGCTCACTGCAGAGAGCCCCTGTGTCAGGCTGGGCAACCTTGGATGCAACCCATCCCCGGGCTTGGGAGGAAAGCCCCCCGGCCCAGGGCTTCCCCCCAGCCGCCACCGCCAGGCAGCTCTCCTGCCCTGAGCTCCTCAGAGGCACTGGGGTTGGGTCCTTCTGCCAGGGCCCTGCTTTCTCTGACATGGCCAGCTTCAGTGCAGGAAGGACCCAGGCTCATGGACCCCTCAGATCCAGGCCTCCTCAGCCCTCACTTTCCCCATCTGCCAAGTATGAAAAGGAGTCTTGGGCCAGACTTCCTGTGGGAAGATGGGGAGAGGGCCAGGGATATAACTCAACGGCACGAGCGCCTGCCTGGCAAAGTGCAAGGTCCTGAGTTTGATTCCTGGTGCCAGAAAAAAGGGAAGATGGGGAGGGTGACAGTACACAGCTTCCCACTGGGCAGGGCACTGCCTGTCATATGTCCCCTCTGGCCAGAGCCCTGGAGGCAGGAGCATCCTGAGGGTGTCCTGGTCAGCTGTGTTATTCATCCCGTGATCCCAGGGCAGTCAGCAGACTCCAGCCAACGCCGGCAGCAGCAGTGAGTGACCCTGGGCCGGTCACTTCCTCTGTTGGGAAGGCTGGGGGCAGCAGGCACCCTGGCCTCAAAGCATCTGCTTCCTTATGAGACTCAGTTTCCTTGTCCATGGCCCTGACCAGGGCAGTCAGTGAGCGCAGCCAGGAAGTTCCCAGGTCTGGGAAGGCCTGCGAGGGACTGGGAGGCTCCGGGTGTCCAGAGAGCAAGGCCTGGGCAGCGGGAAGTGCAAGTCATCACGCAGAGGGAAGTGGGTACACCCCAGGGGCTGCTGGGGATATCCTAGTGCACTCTGGCCTTCCTCATGGGAGCCCACGGGGCCAGCAGCCAGCACCCTTGTGCCCAGGGCCACCACTGAGCCTGTGGCAGCCTCCCACTGTACCCAGGGCGTGACTCGAAGCTCCCAGCACCCTGCCCACCCTGATTGGCTTCTAAGCACGCCCCGGCCGCAGTCACTTCTGCCTCAACTTCCCCTCCTTATCAGAGAACTTCCCCTGTGCTGCCTTCTCAGATTGCCCGGACTGTGTGGGGAGGGCCAGTAACGCGCAGCCCTGTGCTCCCTCTTGCCAGCCAGGCGTCAGCGGTGGGGCCAGCTCACCCTCCCTGCCCTGCCCAGTTAATTGATTGAAATCAACAATAAAGATGGGGAATTTTTTTTTTCAAAGATGTAAAAGGAGTCCGGTGTGGTGATGCATGCCAGTGATCCCTTAGGAGGCTAAGGCAGGAGGATTGCAAGTTTGAGCACAGCCTGGGTAATTTAGCAAGACCCTGTCTCAAAATTAAAAAATAAAGGGCTGGGGATGTAGCTCTGTGCAAAGGCTCTGCGTTCAATATCCAATAGTATTTTAAAAAAAGAAAAGCGGCGGTTGCGGAGGGGGGAAGACACTACTTCTAATTCTCCAGGCTAAATTCTTCCCTGTTCCTGACTTAAGTATATACCCAGCTGCAACGCAGGCATTGAGCAGCATCAGAGGAGCAGCAGTGTGGTCCGGTGCAGCTCCACTTCCGACGGGCACATGATCAGACCTATCTGTGCCTCAGTTTCCTCATCTGTGAGAGGGGACGGTACGCAGTACCCGCTTGGTAAGATTTTCCGCGTGCAAAGCACCTAGAACAGAGCCCGGCCCCTGTGCCCATCCACACAGTCCGCTGTGCACCCCAGGGGTCGAAAGCAAGGTCGCGAATGATTTGCACACCTGTTCACAGCAAAACCGTTCATAGTGGCCAAAAAGTGTCAGCGACCGAGATCTTGGGGAGGGACGGCTGGCACGTGTCTGCGCCCGCAGTAGAACACAGTCCAGGCCTAACGGGAGGGACGCTGTGACACAGCCTGCAGTGTGGGTGGACCCAGCCAGGAGAGGACAAGTCCTGTGTCCTTCCCCTTGCTGGAGGTCGCAGGAGTAGACATCAAGGGTCGGTGGCTGCTGGCCACGGGGAGGTCTTGGGGGGGCACTGTCTAACGGGGACAGAGTTCCAGTCTGGCAGGGTGGACCAGCTCTAGGGGCGGAGGGTGCGGCGGGCTGGAGGGTTACATGCAATGCAAACGGCCTGCGTGCCCCCGACACTGGACTGGTGACGTGATGGGTAAACCAATGCTGTATATGCCTCGCCACAATTAAAACCAGAGTGGGCAGCCAGTGCTCAAGCAGAAGGGGCCCTCGTGTCCCAGGCCACAGGCAAGGAGGGGACCACGTCTCCCGGCCACGTGCCGCCTCCACAGCTTCAGTGCCGGGCTGCCCCTGCCCTGCCCAGCCCCGTGGAGGTGGGAGTGGGCAGGACAGTGCCTGACAGTCCCTGACTTCCTGCCCGGTGCAGCTCTGGGCTGGCCGCTGGCTGCCTCTGCAAGTACAGGCCTCTGGGGGGCTGCCGGGAGGGGACAGAAGAGCGCCTGCCCTCCGGGCCCTCCTCCTGTCCTGTCTCCCCACCTCCCGCCTCCATCCAGCTCCATTTTCAGGTTTCCCTTGTGCTGGGGGTGCAGGTGGGACCTTCGACCCTCAGGCCCACTCAGAGGGGGGAAGTGCCAGGTGGCACACAGGGGCCGGCAGCATCACCCTTCCCATCCTGACTGCTGCCCTGGGTAAGCCATGGGCCACTGGGGGACAAGGCTGGTGGCCCAGCACCAGCCCCACGGAGCCCACACTGACCAGGGTGGGGCGTGGACTCGGATCTTTGGGGTCCCAGACCAGAGTGTTCCCAGCAAATTCCCAATCTGTTTGGGATTAGGAGGGGGCGGGTGGAGGGAGCCGGGCAGCGGCTGTGGGATTGCACAATCATCTCAGGAAGGCCGGCAGCTTGAGTTCTGCTCCCCTTTGGATGAACCCTGCTGGGCCAGGCCCTCAGGCTCCCCATCTGTGCCCTGGGGAGCAGCGGAAGGCCCCAGCCTGGACACTGTGGCTCCAGGGCTTCGCCTGAAAACCGTCATCCGCGGGGCCGCAGGGAGAGCAGTGAGGGCCTGTTTTAAAGCCACCCCTTGGCAGCCTCTTACCCCACCCCACCCCCGCCTCCCAGGGCCAGGATGGACGCCTGTCCAAGTTGAGTCCTGGCCCCTGGCCACCACTCCAGGGAGAAGGAGGAAGTTCACAGTCCCTGGGACGCCCCCTGAGCACAGCCCCCCACTCAGCCACGCCTCTGCCCTCAAAGACCTGTGGGGGGAGGAGAGGGGCCAAACAAAGGCGGGCGGGGGAGGGGGGCTCCTGCGAGAGGCAGAAGAGGAAGTGGGTGCCAGCGGGAAATTCCTGAATGACAGGATCCAGAGAGCAGCAATTTTAGGATGTGAACTCGAGGGGCGTCGCCCATAGGTCCCCCTCATGCCCCGGCCCACCCCTCCGGCCTCCGAGGCCCCGAGACAGACCCTGAGAGTGTGTAGACGGGAAACGGAGGCTAGAAAGGGGTAGGACCGGCTCAAGACGGCGCTGGGCAGGGCGAAGTCGGGGTCAGGTCTGAGCTCAGGGTGCGTCCGAGTGTCTGGACCCAGCGCCCAAGGTCCTGTCCGGCTCTAGGGAACCCATAAAGGTAAGGGGCTTTGTGGGCGCCCGCAGGGGCTCCCAGCAGTTCTGCCCGGCGACCTCGACAGTCACCTCACCCTCCGAGCGCCCCCTTCCACGCAAGGCTGCGGAAGCGCGAGTTCCCAAGGCCTCGGGGTGCCGGTAGTGGAAGCCTCGGCAAAGGGGCGCCCCTGGGCGGGGAGGGGAGGCGGGGCGCGGCCGGCCAGGCAGCCAATCGGGGGCCACGGCGGACAATGCCCGGCCGGCTGGCGGGTCCGCTGGTCCGCGGGTT